CAAAAGGTGAAATAGATACTGAAATAAAGGCTGGAAAGCTCTGCTCTAATCTAATCTATTTAGCAACGGGTGCAAAAGGTTTTCAAGGAAGTACAGCAACTGTTCAAGCTATTAAAAATGAGATAATGGCAAATGGCCCAGTCGTTGCTTGTTTTGATGTTTATAACGACTTTATGTCATACAGATCTGGAGTTTATTTTGTAAATTATAAGGATTTTAATAGAACAAAAAAATTATTTTTAGAAGACTGCAAATGCCAAAAAAGTAGGAGGACATGCTGTCCGAATAATTGGTTGGGGTACCCAAACGTGTAGTGGAAAGAGTATGCCTTTCTGGTTAATTGCAAATTCATGGAGCACTGGATGGGGAGAAAAAGGACTTGTCAAGATTAGAAGTGGAGTGAATGAAGTTGGAATAGAAAAATCTGGAATTGCTTTTGGGATTCCAAAAATATAGAGAATTTAGTAGTTAGTTGATTTAGAATGTAGATAGAATGAGTTGAGATTGATTATACGATAGCTAAAAAATGTTATAATATTTGTTCTTAATTACCTAAATACAGTCGGACCTCGATTTTAAATTAGGGTAACACCCCGAGCCTTCGGGGCCGGAGTGTCGGGTTCGGGGTTTTCCGGAGTAGTGCTTTCGGAGTTCGGGTCTATTTTAAATGAACCTCTCGACCAATTTGAGATACCCCAAAATTTTTAAAAAAAAAATCTGGAATTGCTTTTGGGATTCCAAAAATATAGAGAATTAGAGATTTTTAAATTTGGATTCCAAAAATATAGAGAATTAGAGATTTTTAAATTTGGGTGCTACTAGGTGGGAAGAGGGCATAGTCTCAAAGCATATCCTCAAATTCAGATCCTTCTCATTTTAACAAAGGTTCCTCTGGGGAAATTAAAACCGATGTTCGACTGTATATTTGCATAGTTGTTATTAATGTTGAATAAATATACCGTTTTTCTAAAAGATAGTGTAGTCTGAAAAGTAAGGTTGGCTTTCCCGGATATCCGGATAAACAAAGCCAGGATATACTAACTCTTCGGGTAGTAGTGAAGATCACTGATCCTTAGCTTTTTTGGTATCTTTAAGGTAATCGAGTTAATTTTGAATCCCAGAAGCGAATTCGACCAAGCAAATTCGGGGCAAACATTCAGAACACCGTTTAGAGTTGTCGAAGTTTTATAATTTAGATGTCATTCGCCCCAGCTCGAAGATACTGTCAGATTAGTCCTAAAATTTAAACTTCAAATCTTTCAAGGTAAACAAATTCTAGGCTCAGATGCGGACTCAGGACACTCGATTACTTACTAGCAACTTTCAAAATATAGAAAAAGCATTTCTTGATCTTCTTTCTCAAGACTAATAATTTTTCCCGGGACTACATATCACCTATCTTTGTTTATCGTTAATTAAAAGTGCATTATGAAAGTCTTATTTATCAGACGTATACATAAGTTTCACAATGTTGCCCTTTAAAGTATTTTAAAATTTATTATTGTTGCATCATTGGGAAATAATTAAAGTGCTTTTAATTTTATGTAAACAGGAAATCAGATTTAAATAAAAGGATAATTAAAAAGGATTTATTTTTCACTTTTCATTCGTTACTTAAAAAAATTTTTTATTCTTTTATTTAAAGGCGAGGGTATATAAAATCGGGGGTATCGCTTAGAAAGCTCTCCCTCTCACACCCAGTAAGCAAACAAATATTAAAAATCGTTTTTAAAACCCGAGGCTCTTCTTAAATTTAATATAGTCAGATCTCATCTTAAGATAATCCCAATATTTAATATTGTTACGTGAGAGGTTCATTGTAGAGATCGAGATTTTTGAAAAGCCTGGGCCTTTCCTGGGTTCTAGGTTTAATTTATTGACCTGGGCCGGATCTTGGGCCTGTAGTACCTGGGGGATTAGTACCAGGGGGACTAGTACCCTGAGGATTAGTACCTGGGGGACTATTACCTGGAGGACTAGTGCCCTGGGGATTAGTACCTGGGGGACTAGTGCCTGGGGGACTAGTACCCGGGGGACGAGTACCTGGGGGACTAGTACTCTGGGGATTAGTACCCGGGGGACGAGTACCTGGGGGACTACATAGTATCTGGGGGACTACATAGTATCTGGGGGACTACATAGTATCTGGGGGACTAGTACCCTGGGGATTAGTACCTGGGGGACTAGTACCCTGGGGATTAGTACCTGGGGGATTAGTGCCTGGGGACTGTTACCTGGGGGACAGTGCCAGGGGGAATATACCCGGGGGACTAGTACTTGGGGGATTATTACCTGGGGGACTATTACCTGGGGGACTATTACCTGGGGGACTAGTCCCCCTGGCGCGGGGACTAGTATGGAGTTAAGAAACGGTCTATAAAAATTTGGTAGCTGCCTAGATGCCCCTCCTTTTCAAGAATGACTTTTTCTCAAAGGAGTTATCTCCTACTGAAGTTTTTATAAAAACATTTTTTCTAGATTTGTCTAATCAAAAATGATAAAATTAATTAATTTGTCTATTTTTCTGTTAAATTTCGTGGTTATTTTCGCTGCTCCTGGAGGAAAAAATATCCGAGGAGAAAGAAATGATGTACTTTTATTGCAAAATTTTGTCGTAAAATTGCTTACTGATACCGACATTAGTGAAGAATTTAAAATTATAATTAAAGAAAAATATATAGAATTTGTAAATACGAAAGGAATTTTAAAATTAAATTTATTAAATAAATGCGAATTAAATAGTGAATATAATTTTAATTCTCCAAATTCCTCAAATTCGAGTTGCTTGACTTTTGCTAAAAATAATAATGAACAGGACAATTTATTATTACAAAAACCTACAAATTCTGTGTTTAATGAAATGCCAGGTAGGGGGAAGGGGGAGGGCTTGAACCAGACATACACGAAACTAAACGTTTCGTGTATGTCTGGGTTGAACGGTCAGAGGTGTCGGAACTAGAAAGGAAATTTAAAGTCAGAGAGATTGGAACTAAGATTGGAACAGAGATTGGAACTAAGATTGGAACAGAGATTGGAACTAAGATTGGAACAGAGATTGGAACTAAGATTGGAACTAAGTTTGGAACAGAGATTGGAACTAAGACAATCTTCGTGGGCAATTCATGGGCAATCGTACACGAAGATTGCCCATGAAGAGAACTAAGTCCGAGATTGGAACTAAGTCTATTGGAACTAATATTGGAACTAGCTCCATATTTGGAAATTCTAGATATTTTATATAACATTTTACGTTATGTTTGACGAAATTAATTTTTGGGGAGGATTTTGGCCTTCCAAAGTTTCAAAAACGGATTGATGTCTGGTTTGACGGTCAGAGGTGTAGGAGCTAGAAAGTAGGCAATAGAAAGCCTCTATTAAAAGATTGGTGTCACTCCTATGTAGATGAGCGTTGTGTTTTTAATTGGTACCTTAACCTATCGGGAAAAGGCGAGACATGAGAATTCCGATTTACCTCTGATCCCAGTAATTTAATTAAAATAAAAAATTAATTTAAGGAAATTATCTAATAGATTTTCGAACTTATTACAAAAATCAAAGCAAAAATCAAGAGGAAAGGAAAGAAACATTAAAAGGAAAGGAGAAAGTAATTGAAGAATATCAAAATGATACAGCCGAACCTCAATTTTATGCAAACCCGCAATTACAGGAACCTTCAACTTTAGGTAATTTCATTAAAGATTCGGATAAGTGAGCTGCCCAGGAGGTATGTACTCCATTAATAGTTAGGCTTCCTCACTTCAATTCTATTTTTCCTTTTAATGGTCCAGAGTAGGTTTGACGGGGTCAGGATATCCGGACACGAAAAAGACCGAAGAGCTGGAAATATTCGGTATGGGTCCGGATCCGCCCGCCCTAATCCAGATTATGCGTCAAATCAAAATTTTCTGTCTACCGTCTGCTCCATTTTCTATCCCCAATTTTCTAACCCGATTTTCTATCTCGATTATCCAAATTAGACTAATTGAAGAAAATTATTTTTAAGAAAATAATTTAATAATCAAAAATGATCAAAAAGAAACGCCAAACTATAATAATTTTAATCAAAATACACAACAAGGATTTGGCCTTAAATTAGATAAAGAAAAGTTGATTGAAGAATATAATCGACGATTTAATAATTCGGGTTAGATTTAAGATCAACGAAATTCAAGCCTTATTAGAAATGTTACAAGGTCCCTATCCCGTCTAGGGATCGGGATTGGCCTAAATCGAGATCGTGATCTATCTTTCAGTCTCGGGATCAGCAAAATCTGGATCGGGATTTAAGAAACCCCTCGGAACTTTACTACCGTATATACTGTATTAATTACCGTATATACTATTATTGTTTCGACCTCTCTCTGGAGGGGGTAATTAATCGAGAGGATGGGCTAAATTTTGGGTATATCTCAATAAATCAAAGAGGAAATCCATTTATTTTTTGATATTAATTCTTATAATGTTTCAATAATTAAAATTGACAACGATTTTTTCAATATTTTTGAAATTAGAAAAAGAAAGGGAGGGGTAATTATTAAAGAGGGTAATTATTTGAGGGAGGGTAATTAATAGAGTATATACGGTATACTCTATATAAATCCCTCTGTTTTAAGATACTCCAAATTAGAGATCGGAATTTTGTTCCGTACCGTATTCCGTACCGTAATACCGAAAAATACCGATAAAATTCAAAATGTTGCCGTAGCGTATTCCGTACCGTATTACCGACTGTAATACCGATAAATACCGAGAAATACCGACAAATACCGATATTTTTCATCGGTACCGTATTCCGTACCGTATTTTTTAAAAAAATATTTCCGTACCGTATTCCGTACCGTACTACCGATACGGAATACGGATAAATACCGAAAAATACGGCCGTAGTACGGTACGGTCCGATCTCTACTCCAAATATTTATAATCCACTGTTTAGGATTAATATGTGAGTATGTAAACAAAAAATAATTTAATAAAATTTTCAAAATTTTTAAAGGAAAGGAGAAGCTAATTGAAGAAAATCAAAATATTAATTTCAATAAACACGAACAAATGCGATTTATTAATTTGGAAGATTTAGTAAAAAAAGACCAAAAAATTACTAAAAATCAAGTTCCTCGCCCTCCAAATAATGAAAAAAATAAGCAAAAACAGGTTCAAGAAGTTGTGGAAAAAGTAAAAATGCCAGATGTTGACCCTTTGTTTTCAGCAATGTTACAAAGACAATATAGAATGGAGAAAATGAAAAAACCTTATAATAATCAAGCAAATGAACATTTAAAAAGTAAATAAATTAAAAAATATTTATGTTGACTTCACTATAAGATGTCCTAGAGACGTCCGAGACTCTTGGTCTTGAGATTTGATTCCAAGACTTTTCTTGGTTTTTTTTCGGTCTTGGTCTTGGAGTGTAGTCTTGGTCTTGTGGCTTCGAAAATTTTCGGTCACGGACGTCTCTAAGATGCCCCTTATAAATAGTTTACGTCAAATAGATTTTAATTACGGACAATCTAAAGACCAATATTCTGCCATTAGGGAGTGGGTCCGCAAAACTTAGTCTCCGGATCAGGGCTGTCCACAATTAAAAAAAATTTTCCGCAAATGCAATCCGCAACCCACATTTTTTATTTTAAAATCCGCAAACGCAGTCCACAATCCGCAAATCACGCAATCCGCAGCACTGTTCCGGATCTGTGCTCATATTCAACGTTGAGTTTTCAAGACCAAGTTATCCTCATTTCACTCACAACTTCAATTTCTATTAGGGTTGAGGTCATAAAGTTCGGGCTCGGGGTTTTAGCCAGAAGGGCCAGGTTCGCAGTTAGACGGTGTTTCATGAATCATTCTTGCTTTCCTTTTGGATCTGTTACATTATTTTTTAAAATAATTTTTGGATTACTCGTCCAATAAATAGGAATATCAAAGGGATCGGACGATATGTAGAAAAATTTTGATTGGACGCATAATCCGGACGGGAAAGGGCGGGTTCTGGGTTAGACGGGGTTGGGCTCAACACCAGATACAAATTCTACGTTTCTGATCCTTGATAAATGTGATCCGACTATTAATTTTTCAATAAAAATATTTTTTAAAGATGCTGAAAATTTGAAAGGGAAGAATAAAAGATTGGGCGATTTTAATGAAATTGATGAAATGGAGAAACAAAAAGTTGGAAAAAAACCAAAAATACCAGATGTTGATGAAGATTTTAATTTGTATTTACGCCGACAATATGACGCTTATAAGAAGAGAAAAAATCAACGGCAGATCTGATCGTTTTAAATTTTAAGGGTAGGTTTTTAGAGAGTACCTTAACTCCGTTCCCGAAAGATTTTCTCACATTCATCCTCGACCAGAACCCTGACCATATTTTGCTGTCACGACCCGAACCACGCCCCGAAACAATGAAACTCCGTAGCACGACATACCCGCCTCCGAGCGTTCGGGGCAGTTTCCCTAGTTTTTAGGCATTTCGCATGCCTAAATGTAAATGTTCTATTAGAAAATGACTTTTCGACCTCTAAATTGGAGGAAATACAACCTGAGTGAGGGTAAGCTTACTAGTCGAGGAAGAGGTGGAAACTAGACTTTATGTGTTTCTATTTGAACATTTATGGTATTAATTAGACTTTGATACACAGCCGAGGCTGTGTCGCCAATTTTGGCGACTTTTCATTGAATTGTCTCTTTTTTAAATTGTCCCCCGTTCACTCCTCGTTAATTTTTTAGCCGTTCACCCTTTATTTTTTTCATTGTCCACTCAATCTTTTTAAACCTTTTTCCCGCCAAAATTTTTTCTCTCTATTTTTTAGTGACAGTTTGCGCCTGTCACAACTTAAATTTTTCCTATTGTTTTTTCCGATTGTCTTCTCTGCCCCGTTCTCTCTACACATTTGGTTTTCTATAATCTATTAAGCATTATTTTTCAAGTTCGCATTTTTTGAGTTTTTTGCCAAGACCCGCCCTCTTTTAATCTCTATTTAAGCCGAGGATCAGCCCCCCAAAAATTACCATTCACCTCCAGTTTTTACTTTCAACCGCTTCCAGTTTTCAATTTCAACTCTCATCTTTTGGTTGGCTGATCCGCGGCTTCTACCTTTGTTTAATTAGTGCTCGATTTATTTTACTGCTCTGTTTTTTTGGCTATTATTTTTTGTGGAAGAAGTAAATTTATTGTTGACTTGTCGTTGTATTTTGTTTGAGTGGAAAAGTGAACCGCCTCGAGGTTCACTTACTGTTCTCCTTCTGTTATTTGACTGTGTTGGCACAACCAACACAGTCTGGTGCCACGATCCTAAAAATCCAATTTGTCGGGAAGCCCGTCTCCCGACAGGCTGATAGATTATCCGATAATTGTGAAAGTAACACTAATTGAAGTGTGAATCAAAGTAATTTTTGGCCTTCTCCGTATCTTCTACGTGTACGTATATTAAAAGTCGAAGCTCAAGATGCCACTGTTAGGAGAACTTCTACTAGGGTCGAGGTCAAAAGTTAGGAGTTAGATGGGTCTGGGTCTGAGTTATAAAAAGATTTGGACACCGGACCGGTTCCGAGGGTAGCTCGGAATATGTTAATAAGATCAAAGTTTCGGAGTTTCGAGATTTTAGCCAAGAAAACTCCAAATCCCCTAAAATCCCTCCAAGAGGATCTAGATGATTAATAATCCCCAGATATTAAGACAAAATTCAATAATTCCGTTTAATAATCCTCTTTAATCCCTTCAAATCCCCCTTAATCACTCAAAGTCCTTTAATAAGAGAGTCTTTCAAAGGGGAAGACTTATTATCGAGGAATGTATTATAAAATTATCATTTAGATGCCTAGTATAAGAACACAATGAAAAGCTGATTTTTAGAAAATTAATTGAATTTGGCCGGCAAAATTGAATTTTGACGTTGGCATATTTAAAATATAAAAATTTAATATTAATTTAAAATTTATTTAATTTATTGACCACATAAAATTTTTTATTTTTCATAAAGTAGAAAGACAAATAAAAATATTTTTTCCCCTTTGTTTACAATTTTCTTGACCTCAAACTGAGCGAGAAGGTTCCTGCCATTCCGATCGCTTCAAATTTATTTTGGCTATTAAAGTTAATTGATTTTATTGGCTTTATTTAATTGAAGGAGTTAGGACAATTTAGTATTATATTGAGGTAGTTCAAAAGGATGGGTCTGGGTTTTCGAAAAATTTTTCGGATCGTGTTTTGGGTAACCTGATCAATTGCCGGTCCCCAAGACGCAAAATGCTCTAATTAAAATGCTCTAATTAAAGCCAGGATCTATTAGAAGCCCATATCTAATATAAGCCCACCCAAGGAGGCCCATCGAAAAATAAACGCTCATTCTCTAAAGAAGCACATACCGTATTTACACGATTAATTCCCCTCCCTCGATGGGATGGGTTGAAAAAATAATTCCCCGGGGGAATTAATCGAGTAAATACGGTATCTAATATAAACCCACCCAAAAGCCCCTTGAAAGAACGACGCACAGGGCTTTAATTAAAGTATTTACGGTATTTTAATTTATCTAATTGAACGGCAAAAGTTTATGAGGGTAGCTATATTGAAGGGGGTGACTTCAAAGAAGGCTTTAAGATGAGTGTGAGATTTAATAGAAGGTATTATGTAGAGTAATGAAGGGTGTCTCTCAAATAGAAGGCCGTTCATACGGTATTTTTTAGAAAGACAAATTCTCCCATTTAGTGAATATTTTGGCGTAAAAATATTTTTTAAAATAATTTATTAAATTAATTTAAATCATTTTAATAAATTTCCCCCAGATATGGCAACAAATAACCCAAAAAATAATTTATTTAATTACCAAAAATATTTATGTATTTTTTTAATCTTTATAAAATTTAAATTGTTATTTTCTCAATTTCAACTAAAAATTGAAAAAAGGAATGGGTGTTCAGCTAATATTCTCCAACAATGTGTAGAGCCATTAAAAATTGTGGGAGTACCTTTAAATAAAAATTTGGTTAAAAGTTTGCTCCAAATTTCTACTATTGAAATGTTGAACAAATATTGCAGGTAATTTGATTGGTATTATTTAGAGCCTGCTATCACTATGAAATCCAATATTAGGTTAAAGGAGAGATTGGACAAGGGATACCCTATGTGAAAAGGCAGCGATTTTCTCTGCGAGATCTCGTCTCGGTCCGATTTAGAAGCATACCTAACAGTATTAGTGTATTAAAAGCTGTGGGAGTAATGACTTCGTATGACTTCTTTTAGATATCGGATATATAGCTATACGGAGGAGGTGAAGTGCAAAAAATACCGGACGATGATTTTGCTGCCTATTTCTCCTTCCTATTAGCAGCTGCCTATTACTCCTTCCCATTAGCTAAAGGAGAAATAAATAGCTAGCCAATATAACTGTTATAGATAACCTCAATGAGATGATTTTTTTAAATTTGGTTAGTCAATGTGTGGGGACACTGTAGAATCGAGAACCCTCCTATTTAATATATGCCTCATTATGGGCTATGATTTTGAAGTGCCAAGGATAAATCTTATAATGAAGTTCGTTCGTAATGAGGTCCACAAGTAACTAGGTCATACGTAATGACCTCTCTTTCAGATACCCTTTCGAAACTCGAAAATCGTATCTTATCATCGTCCAAATTGTTACTCTCATAGAGGGGCATTCAAGTGAAGGAGTCATTCTATTAGAGGAAACATGGTATATTAGCTATGGGATATACATTAGCTATGGGTCATACTTTCAAAATATCCGGTATATTTTTAAGTTCCTACAAAACAATAATGCCTTGTTTTGCTGGACATATATCCCAATGCGGATCAACTGAACAAAAAGAATATCTTCGACAAATGCTTAATGCTATCCAATTCTTGTGTGATCCATTTTCTTATAATGAACGTTTACAACTTTTGTCAAATCGAAAATGTATTGGGAAAGTATTGGAAGATAATAACCGATTAATTAATGGAAATAAATTGAACGATTGCTTTAATGAATACAATAACAATATTAATAGATGCCGGTAATTCTAAAAATTTTCAACCGAACAGATTCTAAAGATCGAAAAACGGAAAGTATACCTCTGCTTTATAATGAAGTTTTTGATTAAACGACCGTGGGTACCCCTTAATAACCGGTTGCCAACCCGCCAACAATCCTGATTAGTGGTGTTGTTCCAGTCAGCAAGTATTTTCCGAGGTTCGACAACCTTGGGTGTTCCAACGGTTCCCGTTAACCGTAATTTTCTTAAGCGAACGCGGTTCCGAGTCCAGGCCAAATCAGGTACTGTAAACCTATCAATTGCCCCCGCTGGATTAATTATCCTCTCTATCTGTAGGTTAAGACAATAATTCCTCAGGATATTTATCAAAGAAATACGGTATATAGAGTGAAATGAAGGCCTAAGGAAGGAAAGGGGAAGGAAATTCAAAATTACCCCAATATCAACTAAAAAAATTTTTAAACAGTTCAAATTGTAACAAACTCAAAACAAACAAAGAAAATGCCAAATTTACTTGCTTTATCAGAACCTGGATTTCTGAACAAAATCTTTGTTTAATTAATAAAATGAATAAAATTTGTGGAATCCCAACAACTAAATTTTATATAAAAATACAAAAAACAATTTTTAATGAAAAATTTCCAATAATTTGTGAAGAATTTAAGTTAAATGAAGAAAATAAGATTAATAAAAATTTTATTAATTTGTCTAAAATTAAGGAGGAAGGAAAATTAAAAACTACCATTTTTGTGAAAACAAAGGTTTGTGTTAGTGAATACATGGTAGTGTTGCGCCGGACCGAAAATTTGGCCCGGAACTTCCGGCCTACCGGAATTGGAACTTCGGCGCAACACTAATACAAAACCCTCACATCAAGTTCATGCCTAGTGTCCATTATACCACGGATTTAGCTAGGCTAGAGGTAAGCTAGAGCCCCGATGTGTACCCTTACACATGTTTTATCTAATGTCAAGTGGTATGTGTCTCCCACAGTGAAAATAAACTACACAGAACCAAACAGTTGACACTCATCGCTGAACATCTATATTTGTAGGCGAGGTAATAGATTTATCGGTTCTTGGGAAATTTTCGGATATCCGGAACCAATCCGAAGAAAACTTCACAAAGGGGTATATTCCATCACATAACATAAAAATATATACCATAAGTAGGGTTAGCGGATCCGAATCTCATATGAGATGCGGATATGAATCCGAAGTCGATATGAGATGCGGGACTTCGAGGATTTGCACGATGCCTACGGATTAAACATACACTTCTATCTTAATAAAATTTTTTAATTTCAAAAAATTTTTTTAGGGTAAAAAGAAAGTGCCATTATTGAGACTAAGCGATTTCCGTTTAAAATTTGCCGACAACTTTAAGGGAAAAATAAAAATTAATAATAATTCAACAACTAATTCAACTACTACAATATTACCACAATTTAATTCTTCAACCCCTAAAATTAATTTAAATAATAAAATTAATTTGTTAAATAATCAAGATAAACACCAAAATAATAATCTATTAAAAAGAGGAATTACTGGGCTGGCAAAAATTATATTTTTTGAAGGTAATTTTACACAATCGAACCTCACTTTTAAGTTTCAGCTGGGTAACTTGCTTATTATTAGGTTTGTATCCCACAACTCGGATTGGGGTTGCCGGGGTACGGGGGTATCCAATTAGGTTTGTGGTAGTGTTCGTGTCGGGACATATGTGAAAAGATCGTTCGTGAACGAGTTCAAGTTCAGGACCGTGATACAACTCTACTTATTGCCCAATCCAGAGGATTCCTCCCAATCGAACCTCACTTTCAAGTTGCAGCAGGGGGACTTGCTTATTATTAAGTTTGAACCCCGCAAATCGGATTGGGGTTGTCGGGGTACGAGGGGTTTTCAATTCTTTTCGTGGTGGTGTTCGTGTTGGGACAAATGTGAAAAAATTGTTCGGGAACGTGTTCAAGTTCATGACCGAGGTACAACTCTACTTATTGCCCAATCCAGGGGATTCCTCCCAATTGAACCTCACTTTCAAAGTTCTGCTGGGGGACTTGCTTATTATTAGGTTTGAATCCGGAAAATCGGATTGGGGTTCTCGTGGTGGTGTTCTTTCGGGACACATGTGAAAAAATCGTTCGGGAACGGGTTCAAGTTCAAGACCGGGGTACAACTCTACTTATTGCTCGACTCAGGGGATTGCTCCCAAGAAAAACCACCACAAAAATTAAGAGATATCATGAGTTAACCTGTAATTCTTGGTCAAATGACCAGAGATACTGATCCGTTAAGGCCTGGATCAGGGAAGAAAAAGCCCCGGTATCAAACGTATTGTAGGTATATCTTATAGTGTAATTTAAAATTTTAGTTTCACCAATCGAAGAAATTGCTTCTCAAATCTCAAAAAGGATTTCTTAAGAATATGAAAAATGATTCCTAAAAATGATTACAAATTGAGGAAATCGGGAAATCTATAAAACAAAATCCAAAGTCAATCAAATTTCAAATCCGAATTATTGAAAAAAATCTGAGATTAAATAATTTAAAATAAATACGTTAAATATGTATTTGACCAATTTCGAACTTTTCCCTCGAAATCATCTGACATCCCTTCTAATTCTCTAATGTCCTCTTAATCCTATCCCTTTCTATTGTAAGTTGATTCATCCCTTCAAATTCCATGATATCCCTCTTATACCCATCCCTTCCTATTCTAAGTTGATTCACCTAGCAACTTTAAAGAGAAAAGCGAGGTCAAGGAGAAAGGTGATATAAGGAAGAAAGTTAGGTCCGGTAGCTCAGTGGTAGTGCGCCTATATGTGGTGAAAATCTCGGTTATCGAGATCGAGGTTTTCGAGATCCTCCCTAATCCTACTTCCGATCTCTACTTCGATATCTACTTCTAGCCGATCTCTAGTAACAACTACGAGGAGTTCGCAGGTTCGAATTCTGCCCGCTTTGCTAAAATCAAATTCTTAGTCTTTCCTTTAAGAAGGTTATCAAGGGACTTAAGGGGATTAATAGAGCATTAGGGAAGTCGGGGGAGGGATATCAGTCAACTTGGATGGTTCAAGGGTTTGGATGGATTAAGTGGGACTTTGTGGTATTAGGACTGATATCAAGAGATTAAAATGATTTATGGAAGATATCAAAGGATTTATGAGAATTAAGAGGCATCGAAAGGGTTGGGGGAGATATTTTATCAATTATGAATTTCATCATAAACACATTTTAATATTAATTACCGGATACATCATTTCCGATTAATTTCCGATTGAAATAGGAAATTAGTTAAGATTTACGGAAGGAAATTACAAAATTTTTTAAATTTTGTAATTTATGTATGTCTATAAAAAATAATGTATTAAAATTATAGGTAATGCCCTTTCACATTTATCGGAAGTCTGCTTGCACTTTTCTTTAATATTAAAAAATATAAAGGCGTCTATATAATGCCAATAATTTATTTATTATTAAAATATATTTAATTTATTTTACATCCGGACCTCACATTAAGAGACACTCAATATAAGGTAGACCTCTTTAGGTTATTAGACCTTATTTAAAGTTGGTTGCTGTTGGTAGGGATCTGTCCAAGCGATACAATCTATGTAAGATAACTCGATCCATCCTTACTCGATACACCTCATTAACCCTCTATTTAAGATATACCTCAATATAAGGCACAATTCAATTTTAATTTGAGATAATTAAGCGATACCTTCTACTTAAGGAACAACTCATTATACACCTCATTATAAGACACACTTCAATTTAATTAGAGATAATTAAGCGATACCTTCTATTTAAAATATACTTCATTATAAGCCTCTATTTAATATTTAACTCATTATTTTAACCCTCTCTCTAAGATACACCTAATTATAATATGCTCTAGTAAAGCCGTTGGGCTATAGCTATTTCTCTCCTTTAGCTATTGCAAAGGTTAGTCGGCGGCTGGGAGCGAACCAGCATCTTCATTGGACCGGATTGTTGTGTTATCCATTACACCACGTCGATTACTGCTCAGCCTTGAGAGTTAAATAGCTATACGCTTTACACTCTCAATATAAGATACACCTCAGTTTAACCACCAAATTTAAGATACCCCCAATATAAGAGACTTCGTTTGATCCGATCATGTTAAATAAAGTATTTGTAAGGCGATGTGTCTACACCCCGATGTACCGCGAGCCCAATGTACCGCCGAGCTATAACTTCATCCAAAATTGTCGAATCCGTGGCGCCCTAGTTCTGGTCGATTCAGCTGGTCAAGACGCATGAACCATACCAGGGCGCCACGGATTCGACAATTTTGGATAAAGTGATAGTTCGGCGGTACATTGGGCTCGCAGTACACTGGCCTGCTCCCGTCTTATAAGCAGTGCTGGGCAAAGTTCATATTCCAGTTCCGGAACTAATTAGTTCTAGTTCCAGTTCCAGAACTAGAGCTACGGAACTAACGATTATCTGGAACTAGCTTGGAACTGTAACTACGAAACTACTAAATGTCTGGAACTAGCTTTGGAACTAGTTCTGGAACTAGTTCCAGAGAAATTTTGGAACTTTATATCACTGCTTATAAGTGAGATCATACTAAATTTAAATGTTTTTAGATAAAAAATATTTAAAAATGCCCAAATCAATCACCAATTTTATTTTTATTCTCTTGTTATTAGAATTAAATTTAATTTTATCTGTCAAGGCGACTGACGATAAATGCGGGAAGGATTTAAAATTAGTACAAAAATTTTTTAAATTTTTGTACAACGATGACGGAATTAATAAAGAATATAAATCTATTCTTCTTAATAAATATTCAACATTTTTAACTAAAATAGCAAATAAAAAGGCTAGGAAAGCAAGGAAAACAAAGGAAACAAAGGAGAGTTTAATTGAGGTGAATGATAAAAATGATTCCCCAAAATCTTCAGAGGGGGGTAGTTTGAAGTCGCTGAACACTGAAGTTAGTGATAATAAGGGGAAGAATGAGGGAAGGAAGGAGGTACAAATAGTACAGACGTTTAATGAATTGTTTAATGAAAATAAAGATGATAACAATAAAGAGGCTGAACACCTCCCAGGAGACAGGAACCAATTCGACTCCGAGGGATGGACTGGAGAGGGAAGAAACAGGGAACAAATGGAACAACAAAAAGCACAGACGTTTACTGAATTGCTTAATGAAAATAGTGATGATAATAATGAGGCTGGACACCCAACAGAAGACAGGAACAAATTGGACATGGATGAAAGGACTGGATGGATTTCCCCTGAAAGTTCTTCAAGACATGCTAATATTGATACTGATAAAGATTCTGAACCAACCCCGGAAGTTGGCAAAGGATTAGAAGATGTTGACTTGGCTTGTGAGGCACACAGAGCGCAAATAATCGAGGAATTGTTTAGGGATATTGAGACAGTCCCGGAGACAGAACATAAAGAGGCTGAACACCTCCCAGAACACATACCAGAACACATCCCAGAAAACAACAACCAACAGGTGGAAGTTGACTTGATTTCCAATCCGAGCCCTTCAGATGGAGCGCCTAATCATCCGAGCTTCCCTCCGAGCCCTTCACAGCAAGCGCCAAATCATCTGCTCGCCTGGAACACAAATAATGGTAATGAAGCGCCTAATCATCTGAGATTCAATCCGAGCCCTTCACAGCAAGTGGCGAATAACGGTGATTTTATATTTGTTTTATCAACTAAGCTAGGCGATCTGAAGTTTCGGGTTCAAATACCTTATGAGAATCACAAAATAAAAATGGTGGAAGCAGTAGGAGACCCAAGATGGGAATTCCATTACTAATTCCATCCCAGTTTTTTATCCAAAACTGGGTATCTGAAAACGGGAAATTGACTAGGTTCCGGGCTTTAATATGTGTACGAACATAAGACACGTTTGTAAGTACAACTAACTATTGTCCGGTCCCTAGAGGTGGCATTACTATATCTCGATTACCTAAGAGCAAGTGACAAAATTATTTTTAATAAAATAATTTAATTAATGTAACAGATCCAAAAGGAAAACAAGTAGTTCAAGAAGAAAATCCAAACTATATTAACTTTAATCAAAATGCACAACATGGATATAATCTTCAATTAGATACAGAAGGGTTATGTCAACAATATAATCAACTAATTAATAATTCTGGTAACTATTAAAATTATCGAACTTATGAAAAAGAAAATATGATGCTCGGGAGAAGGGTCGGGAAATGACCTCGTGAGTCGGGATCGGGCTACCCGAGCATCACTATAGGTCTCCCAACTTCCTTCAATTCTTCCTTCCTTTTAAAGGTAGGGTGGATGATACGGATATTCGGATCACAGAAAGACTAGTTTCGGAAATTTTCAGTTCGGATATAGGATCCAGACATACGAAGAGTTATCGGAATCCACAACATTAGTCCAGATTGTACGTCCAATCAAGCCTTTTTTACCCATACTAAAGCAATAGATCCAAAAGGAAAGACCTTTCTAGACCTTCAAATCAAGCAACCATCGTCGGTGCTTTCTATTCTTATCATTAAGCTAGGAGATGCGAAATTTTCGGTTTAGATGGGAAATTACACGAACATTTAGGCGTCGCATAAGCGTATATGCGTCTCATCAGAGAATATGAGTCCCAAATCCACTATAAGCTTACCAAATCCCTCGATAAGCTAATAAACCTAGTGGAATAATTGAAAAAATGTTTTAAGAAAATAATTTAATTAAAGTAACAGATCCAAGAGGAAAACAAGTAGTTCAAGAAGGAAATCAAAATCATATTAATTTTAATCAAAATACACAACAAGGACATAATCCTGGATTAGAAATGTTATGTCAACAAATTAATCAGCGAATTAATAATTCAGGTGAATATTGAAGCAGGGCTTGCATATATCCGGGATTGTCACAGACCTAAGGGAATATGTAAACCTAAAATAAGAGGCATCTAAACTCCAAGATTAACTCAAAATTTCTCAATTAAAGATGCTTTCTAAGGGGCAGGGCAGTCGGAAATGACAGAGGCGAAATTGCCGGAAATCGGAACTTATCTTAAATCTTCGGAAATAGGAAGAAAATAACGTCGGAAATCGGAACTAATCGTAAATTTTCAAAAATTGAAAGAAAGTGCCGGAAATCGGAACTTATCTTATATTTTCGGAACTAGGAAGAAAAAACGTCGGAAATCGGAATTCCAGACCTAGGGGAGTCTAAACCTAAACTAAGTAGCGTCTATACTTCCTTAGAGGCATCATAAAGGGAAGGAAGGTACATGAAATGGAAGGTTAACGAGATAAATTGACAAATATTTATTCAATAAATTTTATAATAAATTTATTTTAGGAAACAATTCAACAAATACTTTCGGTTTAAATCACCTACATAGATCTCTGCATCTTCAAAAACTTTTATTAGAATATAAGGTAATCTCAGACATAATTAACTAATTAAAGGAAGAAGGGAGGTTTTAGGGATTATTGAAGCAAGAAGGTGGAAGCATAATACCGTTAGTTCAATCGGTTGAGCGGTGAGCGTCTGAGACAAAAATTTAAGAATTTTTACTAGAACCGGATATGAGAACCAAACAGAAAAATGTTTAGTTCTTCAGTTTGGGTCCAAGGGATAAATAATGATCGGATCCTGGAACTCTGTTTGGTCGATAAGTTGAAAAGTTTTTTAGTGATAAAATTGTAGTTGGGGGAGGGGGGGGGGGTGGGGTTTGGTAACACCTCTTCTTATCATAAGAGCAATGTATAATTTTTTATATATTAGATAAGATATGGTGTTGATTTGTCACGCAATGCGCAACCGGAAAATTCTCAAAACTTAAATATGGAAAGATTAATCCGTCCCAATAATTTTGGTAAATTTTACTTATATCTAAACGAATATAGACATATCGAACTCGAATTGGCCTAATAAAAAGCTCACTTTTGTAGAGACTCGTTGAAGTGAGGGGTCGTTATATCGAGATCAGACTTTGTTTATAAAAATCAGTATGCAGAACGGTCGGACTTTTTAAACGATAACCTCAATTTAGGTTATGATAATATAAGATACCCTCTATACAAGAGACCCCGTGGGACTTGAATATTGTACTCTATAATGAGGTTATTTTAAATTTTAGGGGTATCACTTTGACATTTCCCACATACTGCCACTAAATTTCAAAAACATATCCGATATTTAGGTGGATTTATTATTGCGGTTATCATATAGAGGGTCAGTGTCCGTCTGTAGGGGTCCGTCTTAATGGGGGTCCATACCTCAAATAAAACAAATATAATCTAGGTGGACGCAACTTAGGATGTTCTTAAATTTTGTTGGCCATGGGAGGGGAAGTTGTCCAAGGATACCCTATATATAAAATAGTCCTCATTATTCCCCGATGTATACATTTTAGGATTTGGACCTACAGCATCGACATTGTTTTACCCTCATAATTATGGACAAATGAGACAACATACAATGTTACATACCCAACAAAATTACAACACAAATAATTTAAATATTCACAATATTCCTCCTCCAATTGCTAGTGAACCAGTTGGTATTCACAATATTCGTCCTCCAACTGCTAGTGAACCAGCTGGTATTCACAATATTCGTCCTCCTATTGTTAGTGAACCAGCTGGTAAATTTTTTGATTCGATTTCAATAAAGTTTAATTAGGCTTTCAATCGAACTATTCAAATTCTTTGCATAGTATCCAGGGTTTTTTTCAACTGTTTTACTTCTAATCTAATTTTTCGGGTTCTAAAAACCGGAAAATCCTTATTTTATGGCAGGTTTTGGGTTAACGGTCCCGGAAACAGTTCTGGACTCAACCCAGGCCATAGCTCTAATTTTAATCTAGAAAAGGCCAGACAAAAGTATAGTTGCAATGCAGGGATTGGATCGGTGCAGGAATTGAAATTGACTAACGGACTGCCTCAGACTTAGTGGCCATATTATATACCGGCTCTACTAGTATAGTATACATTTTGGGGTGTTTTAAAACAGATTTTAAAAAGTGACACAAAAATTGACACCCCTGTAGGGGGCATTCTATCGTGGAAATACGGCGAGTATTACACAGGGTACTTTCATTTAGTTGTCCATTAGATAGGGAACTCTATCTACTTATTTTTTAATCCCAATGATGTAATGAACCTTTAATCGTTTAATTAACTTATTTTAGTAGTACAACCAACAGTTGATCAAAATTTAAATAAAAAACGTGTTCAGTTTAGTGAAGATACTAATAAGGGAAAAAAGAAAAAAACTCAAAAAAATCCAACAAAAAATAATCATGAAGGTACTAGTAATGGAAAAAAGAGAAAAACTCGTAAAAATTCAACAGAAAATAATAATGAAATACCATTAGATGTTGAAAATAATTCTGAGAATAATAATAATTCAAATAATCCTCTGGATAATCAACAAAATGTAGTTGAAGATTTCACTAATATTTTTGAACCGAATGATTGGAATAATTAAATGGTTATTTATTAATTAATAAAAAGTTAGACCTCACCATTAGTGTTGGGGTTTTCGAGTCGGGCCGACGTTCGAGTCATTTTTTCGGGCCTAATTTTTATCGGACCGTCGAGTCTTTTACGGGTCAAAATTTGATGGCGACTCGATCTTTCGTACCGGACAGGATTGTATTTCCTCAAATATTGCCCTATGTATTATTGTTTCAGCCCGTATTAATAGGGCATAGTTAATCAAGAGAGGAGGGGGAGGAGGGGGTGTAATTAATCGAGGATGAGGGGGATTGGTTTGAGGGAAGATTAGTTGAGAAGAGTAGAGGGTAAATAGGCAAGGAGGAGGAAGGGGGGATAATTAATCGGGAGAGGCTAATAAGTCGAGAGGAGGTAATGAATATAGGAGTGGGATTTGGGGTAGGGTATTTTATCGAGGAATATGTCAAGTCACAATTCATGAGATATCATCTGGTACTGGCATAACATACTAAAACAGTCCCCATTTAATAAATATACAAGAGATCGGATCGAGAGTATTTCTCGGTCAAAAATCTTGCTTATCGAGACAGCAGGTTCGATCAAGTTCTTTTACTAATATAATTACCCTAATAATTATTAATTTAATTAATTATGTAGATAATGGCCATCTTCTTCACCAACAATATCAACTAAACAATGTTATTAAAGCCAAATGATGATGTAAATGATTAATTTTATTTTTTAAAAATCAAGAACCAATTCTAATTTAATTTTTAATTTTTTGTATTTAAATATTTAAATCTCTATGAAACTTAAAAGAAAATTTAATAAAATTTATTTATTTTAATTTAATATTAGGCTAATCTACATAACTTTAATGAAAAATTCGGGCACCATAAAATTTATAGAGTAGGTCGAGGCCTCGCCGAGACCTCGCCCATTTTCAAACCTCGACCTCGATTTTGGTGACCTCTGGCCGCGGAACCTCGGTCTCGGTCCTTGCCAAGAACCTCGCCGGGGACCGAGGCTAAATATACATCCCTAAAGATTGACTTTTTTAGCAGAAATAGAAGAATTTGTCTATTCACCAAAAAATTCTCAAAATGTTGCGTGCCTAGAAAAATTTAGAATTTACATTAGAAGATTGGATATAAAGGATATAGGGGTATTGAATGGATATAGATTGGATGTAGGGGTATTTGGCAGATTGGATATATTAAATTGGATATAGGGGTATTTAACAGAATTAGGAGTCATATTTCGGTTTCTATTTATAGATTACTATGCTCTGATGTATTTTAGGGGATCAAGTGGATAACAGGAGTTTTTTCTTAGTCTCTCTAAATAAAGAGATATGAAGGAACTAAGAGGGATATAAGATCCTAAGGACATTAAAAAATTGTATTCAATCCCTCTCAATCCTTTCAAATCATCAGATATCTTTCCTAGCTCACAAATCTGGGATATCAGGGGATTTGAAGGATCAAGGAGGATATCAGAGGAGTTGGAGATAAATATAGGTAATCGATCTGAATTTTGCATTAAAGTTTACTGATTTATAATTTTGAATTGATTTATAATTCTCACCAATAGAAGAAAATGTTCTCAAATTTGTAAATGAAAGGTTCTTGAAAATAAGGTTGTCGAATAGTTGGAAATTTTCTGATATCCGGATCCGGTATCAGAACCAAAAATTTGCGGATATCCGGCCTTTTTTCGGATCCGGATATCCGGATCCAACAACCTTACCTGGAAATAATTTAGAAAAATACATTAGAGGTCAAATATACATATTTCATAAATAAAAATTTTCTCACAAAATATTTTTTAATATTTCTCACAGGATATTTTGATTAACTTCCGCTTGAAATGAGGAAATAAAATTAAGAGGTTGGGAAGAAAATTACCCACAATTTTTTATTTTGAAATTAATGTATGTCTATAAAAAATAAAAAATAATGCCCTTTAAAATTTAACGGAAGTATTTATTTGCACTTTTACACTATTTTAAAGTAAATATATAGGCCTGTATTTAATGCCAATAATTTATTATTAAAATACTATTTACCTAATTACACAATTAAATGCCCTCTTCGCTTAAATCTCCTCTCCATCCTCCATTTGTTTGCCCCTCTAATAGAATGCCCTTTGGAAGGTGATTGAAAATAGAATGCCCAGGCAGGCCAAGGTACCGCCGAGTTATAATTGTTTAAAATTGTTGAATCCGGAAGGCCATGGTTGATTCGAGGCATCTTGACGAGCTGAATAAAATACCAAGGCCAATAAAATACCAATATTAAAATACCAATAAAATACCATACCAAGGTGTCCCGGATTCGACAATTTTGAATATAATTATAGTTCGGCGGTACCTTAGCCTTGCGGTACCTTGGGGTGTACCTGCCCAGGCATCCTATTAGAGGTAATATGGTAGTTTATTTTACGGCCAGACATCTTATATTAGATAAACCTCAGTTTTAAATTTGGTTGCTGGTGGGTGCATCCTCGATGCCATCCTCATCCTTCGATACCTTACGTATAATAAATTATTAAGCTTCACGATGATTTTATATGGTCAGTCCTGCCATTCTTCAGTTTTCCTTCGCCAATCTCTTTTTAAAATGCTAAAGAGCTTGCTACTACTCGCCACTACTACCTCTTACTACTTCTTGCTACTCAGCCAGAGACCCTTTAAAATGGCATGCCACTTTTATCACATTATTTTAACGTAACCATTAGATGTCGTATGAGTGAGATCATCTCCCTTTTGATCATCATCATCAAAAGGGAGATCTTTATTTTAATATTTTTAGATTAAAAGATATTTAAAAATGTTCAAATTAATCAACGCTTCCATTACTATACTCATAATCTCCTCTTGTTATTGTTCTCCTGTCGAGGACGATAAAAACGGGAAGGATTTAAAATTAGTACAAAAATTTTTTAAATTTTTGTACAACGATGACGGAGTTAATAAAGAATTTAGAGCTATTCTTCTCAATAAATATTCAATATTTATAACTAAAATGGCAAATAAAAAGGCTAGGAAAGCAAGGAAAACAAAGAAAAATTTAATTGAGGAGAACGATAAAAATGATTCCCCAAAGTCTTCAGGGACGAGTAGTTTAAAGTCGCTGAACACTGAAGTTGGTAATAATGAGGGGAAAAATAAGGAACAAATGGAACCGCCAAAGACGTTTACTGAATTGCTTAATGAAAATGATGATGATAAGGAGGCTGAACACCTCCCAGACAACAGGAACAAATTGGACTTGGAGGGAAGGACTGGATGGATTTCCCCTGAAAGTTCTTCAAGACAGGCTAATGATAATATTGATAAAGATGCTGAACCAACCCCGGAAGATGTCCGGAAGGTGATATCCCCTGAAGGTGATGTTGATTTGGCTTTTGAGGCACACAAAGCACAAATACTCGAGGAATTGTTTAGAGATGATAATAATCATAAAGAGGCTGAACACATACCGGAACCAGCCCAAGAAAATAGCAAAGGAGTGGAGGTGGTTGACTTGACCTCAGTTCCGAGCCCTTCAAATCAATCGCCAAATCATCTGCCGGACAATACCACCAACGGTGCTTTTTACTTTTATCAAAAATTTTCAGTTCGGATGGGAAAAGAAAGATAAAACTAGAAGGAAACTGTGACACACCTTCTAGGAGAAGTTACGCACCTTCTAAGGGAATGTGACGCATCATTGGAGAATGTGACGCAACTGTCACATTCGAAATTGTCATATTGCCTGGACAGCTATAGACGCATGCGGATACATCGGGTCGGACATATCGGGATATTCCAATCCATATACAGTTACCCAACTGATTTTGAAACCTACGGCTACTGGCTGCTTTATTGAGGAAAAGTTATTTTATTAAAACCAACGTAAACACAAGAGGTTATCTTTCTCAAATCAATCCCGATATATCCGTCCTGATATGTCTCTCTATCACGCTAGTACCAAAATTATTTGACTTATTTTCAAATGAATTTAATTTAGTTAATAAAAATGAGAAAAATAAGCAAATACAAGTTCAAGAAGATACGGAAAAAATAAAAATACCGGATATTGGCCCTTACTTTTCAGCAATGTTACAACAAAAATACATAATGGAGAAAAGCAAAAATCCTTTTAATAATCATAATTATCAACCAAATGAAAATTTTTTAAGTAAATTACTTATTAGTTATTACCTCTATACCACCAGTGATGTCAAAGTTCCAGTTCCGGAACTAATTAGTTCTAGTTCCATTTCCAGAACTAGAACTACGGAACTAGTAAATGTCTGGAACTAGCTTGGATCTAGTAAATGTCTGGAACTAGCTTGGAACTGGAACTACGGAACTAGTAAATGTCTGGAACTAGCTTTGGAACTAGTTCTGGAACTAGTAAATGTCTGGAACTAGCTTTTGAACTAGTTCTGGAACTAGTAAATGTCTGGAACTAGCTTGGAACTAGAACTACGGAACTAGTAAATGTCTGGAACTAGCTTTGGAACTAGTTCTGGAACTAGTAAATGTCTGGAACTAGCTTGGAACTAGAACTACGGAACTAGTAAATGTCTGGAACTAGCTTTGGTACTAGTTCTGGAACTAGTACATGTCTGGAACTAGCTTTGGAACTAGTTGTGGAACTAGTAAATGTCTGGAACTAGCTTTGGAACTAGTTCTGGAACTAGTAAATGTCTGGAACTAGCTTTGGAACTAGTTGTGGAACTAGTAAATGTCTGGAACTAGCTTTGGAACTAGTTCTGGAACTAGTAAATGTTTGCAACTAGCTTTGGAACTAGTTCTGAAACTAGTAAATGTCTGGAACTAGCTTTGGAACTAGTTCTGGAACTAGTAAATGTCTGGAACTAGCTTTGGTACTAGTTCTGGAACTACTACATGTCTGGAACTAGCTTTGGAACTAGTTCTGGAACTAGTTAATGTCTGGAACTAGCTTGGAACTTGAAATACGGAACTAATAAATGTCTGGAACTAGCTTTGGAACTAATTCTGGAACTAGTTCTTGAGGGTATATGGAACTAGTTTTTGGGGATATATCATATCTTTTGGTTTTTTCCACCCCTAGTCGATCCAGGAACGAGTAATTGAAAAAAACCGTTTTAAAAAATTTAATTAGGTAATTTAACATATCCAAAAGGAAAACAAGTAGTTCAAGAAGGAAATCAAAACTATAATAATCCTAATCAAAATATTCAACATGTAATTGACAGAGAGTTAGCAAGAAAGTTAACAGAAAGGTTAAGTCAACAACTTAATCAACGATACAATAATTCAGGTGAATATTGAAATTAACGAAATTTGCCCAATTCATATATAGCCCGATTAACTAAATACGGTTATATAGCAACTTAGATATAAGACTATAACTCTAATGGTAATGAGGGTTATTTGAATAAGCCCGGTAATAGGTAAGGTTAGAGGCTCTTGTCCTATGTCTTTATAGACTTTGGAGCCTCAAGATAGTTTGAGGAAGATGTGCCTATCATTTGATCCCTATAATACTGCCATAATTCTAATTATATAATGAGAGCTATTTTAAATCCTTATTAGAGAGATCCACCAAATATACAAGATAGACCTCATAAGCACACTTCACCTCCAAGATCTTATATTGAGGCCCGACTATATACATTTTAGGATACGGACCTAGTGCATCGACTTTATATTACCCTCATAATTATGGACAAATGAGGCAACATACAATGTTACATGCCCAACAAAATCACAACACATATTATCTGAATCGTGGTAATGTTCGCAAATTTCATCCAAATGTTAGAGAATCAGTCGGTAAATGCTTTAAGCAGATCTTGAACTTTTCAAATTCTCGGGCAGGTATCCATGGGTTTCTTTTTAACCTTTTTATTTTTTAACCGGATATTCTGATTCAGAAAACCGGGATCGGGATCATTATACGGATCGGGATCATCCTTCCAAAATCCCTATCCCGATTTTACGTCGGGATCCCGATCGCGCCCAACTCTAGTATATACACAGGGTACTATTTTAAAGTGGTTTTCCACTGGATAAGGGAACTCGGTCCATGGTACCCCGCAGTGAAAATGATTTCACAACTAAATTAGGTATCTATCTATCTAACAAATTTCATCCTGAAGTCCCACGGACGCACAGGCACTCTCCTTTGTAAGCGATATTTCCAATTTAGGGTATACCTCATTATAAATTACACTTATTATCTCCGAGGTTGTACAATGTAATGAGATTATATACCTATTTAACCATATTTTAGTCGTACAATCAACAGCTAATCATAATTTAAATAAAAAACGTGTTCGGGTTAGTGAAGATACTAATAACGGAAAAAAGAGAAAAGGAGAGAATTCAACAGGAAATAATAATGAAATAATATTAGATTTTGAAAATAATTCTGTGAATATTAATAATTCGAATAATTCTTTAAATAATCAGCAAAGTGTAGTTGAGGATTTAACTAATATTTCTGAACCTACTGAAGAGAATCCTTAAAGGGTTATAATTTATTTTAAATATTATACTGTCAGAGATCGTTATAGGATATACCTTTGGGGTTAAACTGTAATTAATCAAGGGGGGTGAATTAATTGAGGAGAGACAGGAGGTAATTAAGGACGGAGGGGGAGAGGGGGTAATTAATTGAAAATTTAGGAGAGAAGGTAATTAAGGATGGAGGGAAGGAGGGGGTTAATTAGTTGAGAAGTGGATAATTAAATAAGGAGAGGGAGTGGGTAAACAATCGAGGCAGAGGGTGATAGGGGCGGTTAAGTATTTGAAGGGTATGATATCTCGGGTTGCACGACGACAGCTCTAGAGCAGGTCCATTATATATAGAGCAGGTCCATTATAGAGCAGGCTACTATGTTCGGTAAAATTTTGATTAATAAGACTGAGAATTTCGATCGAGTTCCTTCCCTACTCCTGTACAATTATTCATTTAATTAATTAGGTAATGGACATCTTCTAACTCCTCAATGTCAACTAAACTGTGAAACTAAAGCAAAACAATGATTTAAAAAAATTTATTTAATAAAAGCTAGACGAGACAAATTTTATTTTTTAAAAATCAAAAACCAAATTTAATAAAAATGATTTTTAATTTTTTGTATTTAATATTTAAATCTCTATCCAACTAAAAATAAAAATTTAATAAAAAAAAATAATTTTTATAAACCAAAAATTGATTTAATACTATGCTAATTTAAAAATTTTTAAAAATCTACAGAACTGATCGCAATAGAAAATAATTTTCCTCGGTCGCAATTTTAATTTTAAAATCTGCAAACGCACTCCAGAATTGCGGTCAGCCCTGATGCTCTACCAGATGAAATTTTTTTTGTTAGCTCTCTTCTTTCCTAATATTTAAAACTATTTTAGAGACTCTTTCCTCTGTTTAATTAATTTTGTATAGGGTCGGGGAGGCAGTGCCAGGAACGGGAAAATTTGTTGCTTTCGCAAAAAAATTCCCCCCCGGGGGGGGGGACGGGGAACTTTTTTCAAAAAAACTCTCAAATTCCCCAGCCCGGTCCGAAAGATCGAATAAATACCATAAAACCTAGGGGGCAGGGTACAACCCTGGTATACATAGACATGAAAAGGGATTTTAATTAATTTAATAATTTTTTTATTATTTTTTTAAATTTTTTTTGCAAATTTTAAATCTTTAATTTTTAAATTTTGGAAATAATTTTTTAGAAAATTTAAGTAAAAAATAAAAATTTTTAATTATTTGTTTAGCTTTTCTTTAAATAAGCTTTTAGCTTTTGCTCAATTCAGAGGAGAATATTGCTTCAATAAAAAATAAAAATCATTTAAGGATAGTTTTTTTGAAAAATTATTTTATTTAAAAATAATCAATTTAATTTACTAATAATTAAAAAAAATTTTTTAAATCAATTTAATAAATACTCGAATACCGAATTTATTTACACCCCCTACGGCTGAAAAAATCACCTAACAGATATAAAATTGAGAGTATCGAGTATGCAGTAGATATCGAGATTTTTGAAAAGCCTGGGCCTGTCATGGACTCTAGTTTTATTTATTGACATGGGTCGAATCCTGGACCTGTAGTCCGGGAAAGACACAGGCCCAGGAAAACCTCAAAAAGGTCAAAAAATGCCTGGGCCTGGACTCTGGGTACAGGAAAACCCCCTTGGTCCAGGCCCAGCTCGAGCTCTAGTAGGCAATTCCCTTCACTAGAGCTGTCACAGAAAGAAAATTTTTCAGGGCTCGAAGCTGAGTTTTGACTCCTAGGGTCAAGACTAATGCTTGGTAACTATATATAATATTGAACTTATATATTGTTCCCGTTCTCGGAACAACTTCCTTCCTTTATCGGGCAACCAGTCACTATACGCAAGACCATGCATGACTCTCTCGGACAGCTCTACGGCTCTACCCCTCACTCAATGTCCAACTAAAATTACTAAGCTCCTCTTAAAGTGAGTATTGATGCTAAATAAAATTGTGATCCGACTAAAAAAATTTTTCTTATTTTTATTTTAAAATAGCCTAATTAAATTTTAAAATGCTCTATTATTATATTTTTCTATTCAAATTATTTTTAATTATTTTACCAACAAAATCTTGTATAACTATAACTACTAAAAGGACTTTAACGAAGAG